TCCTCTCGCCTCGGCCTCCCAAAGTGCTGGGATTACAGGCTGAGCCACCGAGCCCGGCTGTAAATTGGATTTCATCAAAATTAAGAACTTTGGCCAGGGTGTGGTGGCCCAAGCCTGTAATCCCAGCACTTTGGGGGACTGAGGTGAGGAGACTGCCTGAGCCAACGGGTTCAAGATCAGCCTGGGCAACTTGGCAAGATCTCATCTCTACAATAAATAAAAAATTATCTGGGTGTGGTAGTGCACGCCTGTAGTTTCAGCTGCTTGGAAGGCTGAGGTGGAAGGATCGTTGGAGCCCAGCTAGTGGACACTGGGGTGGCCGTGAGCGTGCCACTGCACTCCAGCCTAGGTGACAACATGAGACTCCAACTCAAAAAAAACAAAAACAAAAAAAAAAACTAAGAACTTTTGTATAATCAAAGGACATCAATAAATGTGAAGAAAAAAAGAAAAAATTTATAACAACAATCCACAGGAGTACCTATTTGCAAATCATGTATCTGATGAGGAATTAATATCCAAACTATAAGGAATCCTACAAATCAGCCACTCATGCCTAAAATCCCAACACTTTGGGAGGTCGAGACCATCCTGGGTAACATGGCAAGACCTCGTCTCTATAATAAATAAATAAATTAGCCAGGCATGGTAGCACGCGCCTGTAGTTCCAGCTACCATGCCTGGAAGGATCGCCTACTCCCAGGAGGTCAAAGCTGCAGTAGCTATGAGTATACCACTGCACTCCAGCCTGGGCAAGGGTGAGACTCCAACTCAAAAAAAAAAAAGAAATCCTACATGTTAACCCAATTTTTAAAATGGGCATTTCTCCAAAGAAGATATACAAAAGGTCAATTAAGTAAATGAAACAGGTTCAACATCACTAGTCACCTGGGAATTGCAAATCAAAGCCACCATGAAATATCACCTCACACACATCAAGCTGACAATAGTAAATAAGAATAATAATAAGTATTGGCAAGGATGTAGAGAAACTGGAACCCTTGGCACTGCTGGTATAAATGTAAAATGGTGCAGCCACTGTGAAGTGTGGCAGGTGCTCAAGAAGCTAAACATGGAATTCCCACATAACCCAGCAATTCCACTCCTAGGATGTATACCAAGAAGAATTAGAGATACAAGGACTCTACCGGATATTTTTCACCAATCCTCTAGCAGCATTTTTCACAATAGCTAAAAGGTGGAAATAACACAGTGTCCACCAACAGATACATAAGCAAAGTGTGGTACATACGTAAGGAATATTAATATTATTTAGCCAAAAAGAAAATAAGTTCTGATATATTTTATAACATGTAAGAACCTTAAAAACATTATGCTGGCTGGGCTCAGTGGCTCAGCCTGTAATCCCAGCATTTTGGGAGGCCGAGATGAGTGGACTGCCTGAGCCCGGGTTCGAGACCTGCCTGGGCAGCTTGGTGAGACCTCATCTCCACTATAAATCAAAAATAGCAGGGCGTGGTAGCGCGCGCCTGTAGTTCCAGCTACTTGGAAGGCTGAGGCGGAAGGATCGCCGGAGCTCAGCAGGTCAAGGCTGCGGTGGCCGGGAGCGGCCATTGCACTCCAGTCTGGGTGACAGAGTGAGACTCCAACTCAAAAAAAAACCCAAAAAACAAAAAACATTATGCTAAGTGAAGGAAACCAGACACAAAAGGACAAATATTATATTAGTTCACTTACATGAACTATCTAGAAAATGCGAAGTCACAGAGACAGAAAGTAAGAGGCTACTAGAGATTAGAGGAAAGAGGTATTAGGGAGGTTTTGCTTAAAGGTTGCAGAGTCTAAGATGATTTTTAAAAGTTCTAGAAATAGTGGTGATGGATACACACTATAAATGTAATTAATTTCCCTGAGTTATATACTTTAAATAATTAATTATATAATAAATTATCACAATAAAAACTTTCCAAAAAAAGGTGACGTTTAAATGATTTGTCACCACTCCCCTATCCCCAACAAAAGCAAAAAACAAGCTAGATAAATGACAAAGCTAGTACTGTGTAAACCCTTAACACTAAGCTGCTGTTTCCCTCTGGTATCCCTTCAGAGATCTGAAGGCAGCAAGCTCAATATGCCTTCTCTACATTCTTTTAACTCTGCCAAAGGATCAGGACCTTAAAAGAAGGCCCTGCTTGTTTCACTAACTGCCTTCTACCCCTTGGTAAGCAAAAGGCAGAGTTTGAAATCCTTCACATATTTATGCAGAAAGCATAGTCTTCAACCTTTCCCAACAATGCACCTTGGGCTAGTCTGAAGAAAGTAAGGCAAAAAGACTAATCTCTGATTCTTCCAGTAAGGAACCAAGAGCAGCAAGAGTCTCATTTGCTCAAGTGAGAGACAGAGAAGGCCCTTTTGGTCCAAGAATATCATGGCCTCAGATGTCAAGACTGGGTACCAAGGTATAGACAGAACAAGAGCTAATGGAGGGCCCAGCTGCCACTGTTTTCCTGAAATATCCATTTGATTGTTACAGTTATTAGCTTTAGTGGCACACAGGCCCTAAACATCAACAAGTTACAGAGAACAAAGAGTAGCATGAAAGCAAAGATCTGGTCAGAGCCAGTTAAAAGTTTGCCAGTGGTGCTACCGGCATCAAAGATTCCTATGTTCAGGATGACACAAATTAGGGCTTACAGCTAAATAGAAGGAATCATGAACCAGAAAGAACTCTTTCAACTCAGTCTCCTTGGCATTAAAGCCTTATAGCTCTTATATTTGTATTAATGACAGAAAGATCCACACTTAGATGTTTCACTCATAACCGATAGCATTGGTTTTCAGAACCAAAATGGAACACAGCATAACTGGGTGAGCTCCACATAAACCAGCCTTCAAGTACTGCTCAAGTGTCATGTCTCTTCAGGGAGAAAATGACACCAGTCATGGTCACCTCAGTACAAGAACTGCCTGACACAGAAACCAATACAGAGACTAAAGAAGTAAGCTTCAAAGTCAAGAAAGCTTGGGTTCAGGAGTCTAGCCTATATGTAATATCCTAGGAAAGTCCAGTAAAGGGGCCTACTTTGCCACTCCCAGCTCCTTGCCTTAGTGCTGAACATCATTCCCCACCACAGGGCAATCTCAACAATTGTCAACTCCATTTGGCCAAGCAAATGCCCATGCATGGCTTCTGCAAATGGTTTACCTTCTGGTTATAGATGCTCACTAATCCCCATATTATCAGACTTTTACTCTAACCAAGCTAGTACTTTGGGTTTCCCAAACACACACTACTAATCCAGACTCTAATAACGTCATTTTTTTTAAAATCACAAGATCAGAGCTGAAATGGGACGTAGAAAGCTAGTCTGAACAACTTGTCTTCCAGAAAAAGATGGGATGTAGTAAAGCAATAAGCTTGTCCAGGTCAACCTGTGTCTTTGATCTGATGTCAATAGCACTCAATCAGAATTCTCTTGTTCTCAATTACATTAAGCTGGAGAGGGCATCCAAAATCCCTAGTCCCCTATATACCCAGCACTTTGCTGCTTCAAAACTAAGCTAACTCTTCGCTGGGTTAAGGTCGTCTCAATCCAACGGACACATTCAAAGAGTGGGGGAAAGTCAAAGAGCTACAGCCTTACAACTCAAAAGCTGGAATGGTTCAGTGCTTTAAAAAAATCACATTAGTAGGCCGGGTGCAGTGGCTCACTCCTATAATCCCAGCACTTTGGGAGGTTGAGGTGAGAGGATTGCCTGAGCCCATGAGTTTGAGAACAGCCTGGGCAACTTGGTGAGAGCTCATCTCTACAATAAATCAAAAACATTAGCCAGGCGTAGTAGTGCATACCTGTGGTTCCAGCTAATCGGAAGGCTGAGACGGAAGGATCGCCTTAGCCCAGCAGGTCGAGGCTGTGGTAGCTGTGAACATGCCACTGCACTCTAGCCTGGATGAGAGTGAGACTCCAACTCACAAACAAAAAACAAAAAACACAACACTGCAACAAGAACGCATAAGAAGAAAAGTACCACTCACTACTAGGGCAATAGGAAAAGGGCCTGCACTCTAGCAAATGCTAGATAAAACCCAAAAGTTGAATGTGTCTAGTCATGTTTAGGCTTTACAAAGACAGACTTTACAAAAACATTTACAAAAACATTATCTTTGATCCTGAGACTTCTAATGATATTTCATCTGAAACTCTCTTTTGCCCAACATATGCTTATAAAAAAGTGTTTACATTAAACATTTATATAATTTGGTATTTGATAATCAATTCTTTTCCTTTTCTTGAGTTGGAGTCTCACTCTGTCGCCCAGACTGGAGTGCAGTGGCTGCTCCTGGCCACCACAGCCTCAACCTGCTGGGCTCCTGAGATCCTTCCGCCTCAGCCTTCCAAGTAGCTGGAACTACAGGCGCGCACTACCACGCCCGGCTCATTTTTTTATTTATTGTAAAGATGAAGTCTTGCCAAGTTGCCCCCATGCAATCCACTCACCTCAGCCTCCCAAGGCACGGCATTACGGGCTGAGCCACCGAGCCCGGATTGATAATCAATTCTTACAAATACAACTGTCATATTGTATAACTGATTTTTTTTGGAGGCAAGGTCTCACCATGTTGCCGAAGATGGAGTTCAGTGGCTATTCACAGGTGTCGTATCATAGCACAATGCAGCCTTGAACTCCTGGTCTCAAGCCAATTCCTGTGCCTCAGCCTCCTGAGGAGGTGGGACTACAGGCTCATGTCACCACACCTAACTTCAGCATGGATTTATTTATTTAATTTATTTTTGGTGTCAGAGTCTTACTCTGCTACCAAAGCTGGAGTGCAATGGTATGCTCATGGCCACCGCAGCCTCGACCGGTGGGCTCAGGTGATCCTTCTGCCTCAGCCTTCCAAGTAGCTGAAACTACAGGCATGTGCCACTATGCCTGGCTAATTTTTTGATTTATTGTAGAGATGAGGTCTGGTCAAGTTGCCTAGGCTGGTCTCCAGCCCCTGGGCTCAGGCAATCCTCTCATCTCTGCCTTCCAAAGTGCTGGGATTACAGGCCAACCACTGCACCCAGCCTCAGAATGTATGTTTAACTGACAAATATATTATTAATAACTGCATCTGCTTACTGTCTTTGGGTAAGTTACCTTAGTCCTATTTTTTTTTTCAATTTTTTTTTTTTGAGTTGGAGTCTCACTCTGTCGCCCTGACTGGAGTACAGTGGCCGCTCCCAGCCACCGCAGCCTGGACCTGCTGGGCTCCGGCGATCCTTCCACCTCAGCCTTCCAAGTAGCTGGAACTACAGACGTGCGCTACCACGCCCCGCTTATTTTTTTTTATTTATTGTAGAGATGAGGTCTCGCCAAGTTGCCCAGGCGGGTCTCGAACGCGTGGACTTAGGCAATCCACTCACCTCAGCCTCCCAAAGGCATGGGATTACAGGCTGAGCCACCAAGCCCGGCATTTTTTTTTTTTTTCTTCAAATTTTAAAACTGAGCATGTATACCTTTGTTTTCCTTTTTCTTTTTTTTTTTTTTTGAGTTGGAGTCTTACTTCTTCGCCCAGGCTAGGGTGTAGTGGCACGCACACTCAGGGGCATCACAGCCTTGACCTTATAGGCTCAGGCTATCCTTCGGCCTCAGCCTTCCAAGTAGCTGGAACTGTAGGTGTGTGCCATCACGTTTGGCTTCATACTTGCTTTTACTGGAAAAAATTTTTTCTTTTTGAAAGTGGGATTTGGCCAGGCTCAGTAGCTCAGTCTGTAATCCCACACTTTGGGAGGCCAAGGTGAGTAGATTGCCTGAGCCCCCGAGTTCAAGACCCGTCTAGGCAACTTGGCAAGACCTCATCTCTACAATAAATCAAAAAATTAGCCGGGCGTGGTAGCGCATGCCTGTAGTTCCAGCTACTTGGAAGGCTGAGGCGGAAGGTTCGCCGGAACCCATCAGGTTGAGGCTGCGGTGGCCAGGAGCAGCCACTGCACTCCAGTCTGGGCGACTAAGTAAGACTCCAACTCAAAAGAAAAAAAAAAAGAGAGAAAGGGGGATTTATTGAGAGGACAGAAAACTCCCTCAGTAGGAGAGGACCCAAAGGGGTTGTCTGTTTTTATTGAAATTTTAAAAAAAAGAGACCGGCCTCGGTGGCTCAGTCTGTAATCCCTTACACTTGGGAGGCTGAGGCGAGTGGTTTGCCTGAGCCCGCAGGTTCAAGACCAACCCGGGCAACTTGGCAAGGCCTCATCTCTACAATAAAATTTTTAAAAAATAGCCGGGCATGGTAGTGTGCGTCTGTAGTTACTACTACTTGGAACGCTGAAGCAGAAGGATCGCTGGAGCCCAGAAGGTTGACGCTGGGGTGCCACTGTATTCCAACCTAGGCAACAGAGTAAGACTCTGACTCAAAAAAACAAAAACAAGCCACAGGAATTATGGTCTTATCCCAATAAAGTTGTCAAGATGGCATGCTTGATATCTCGATGTGATTCTCAACCTTTTTATTTTGCTCTAATACATCTATGAGATCTTCCTACACGTCAGTAAGTTAGATCTCTAGCAGTAATTGTTTTTTGTTTGTTTTTTGTTTTTTTTTGAGTTGGAGTCTCACTCTGTTGCCCAGACTGGAGTGCAGTGGCCGCTCCCGGTCACCGCAGCCTCTACCTGCTGGGCTCTGGCGATCCGCCTCAGCCTTCCAAGTAGCCGGAATTACAGGCATGCGCTACCACGCCCGGCTGATTTTTTGATTTATTGTAGAGATGAGGTCTCGCTGCCCAGGTGGGTCTCGAACCCGGGGGGCTCAGGCAATCCACTCACCTCAGCCTCCCAAAGGCTTGGGATTACAGGCTGAGCCACCGAGCCCGGCTGTAGCAGTAATTGTAAATGGCAGAAAACTCTGACTCAAAAGATTTGAAAAAATGGGAGCAGAAGACGGAAGTATGTAGTTTGAACAAAAATTGTTTATATTCTCCTCTCCAAGCTTATCGATTACTCTTACCCCCACCACTCACTGTAATCCAGAGACTTCAATTTCTTGAAAAGATAAAATCACTCTCTTATATTGTAGCCCTTATTCCTACGATCTTTCCTACCCTACCACCACTCTGTTGTCCTGTTACCAGGCAGATGGCTTACCTTCCCCATGTTTGTCAGTGAACTGGAAGGCTTGAACAAGTCTCAGAGTCTCATCCACAGAGCGGCCAACAGGGAGATCATTTACAGTGATCTGCCGAAGGATACCCTTATCATCAATGATAAAGAGGCCCCTGGGAGAAAAGAAAGCAAAACAGCTTTAGAAAGTTGCTTTGTTATAATAGAAAAGCTTGAAGATTTAAGGAAATGGACTAGTCTCCAAGACTTGTACTGATCTTACCTCTAGAGAGGAGATCCCCTGCATAAAGGAATAAAATGAGGTAGGAGTCTCTGCTTTCTCTATAAGTGACATTCAGCCAATTGGGTAATCCTTTCTCTTTATGACGTACCTGAATGAGATGCCTTCATCAGCCTTTAACACTCCATAATCCTGAGCAATGGCACGCTTAGGATCTGATACTAAGGGAATGTTCATGGGTCCCAGTCCTCCTTGTTTCTTAGGTGTGTTGATCCTACAGCAAAAAAGCACAGAATCACAGTCAAATTCTTGTGTAGCAAGAACATTAACTGTACCTGTTCCTCCTCCTTTCCCACACTCTTAAACTAACTTTCCCTATTAACATCAAACTTATCCAGCAGCAAAGTGAATGGGTGAAAACAGTTAAGGTGGGTCACCAGGATATACTCAATTGCAACTCAAGCTGCTTTCATCTCTGCTGCCAGATGAGAGCAACAAGACAAAGTCAGAGTTTTTGTACTCTTTCCATGAGGAGCCAGAAGTCTGTAACTGAAAAGTCTACTGTCAAATCCTCCCAACTGCTGCTTAAAAAGGCCATGTGCCCAGTGGACCAAGAGATTTACCAAGCCAGGTGACAGAAGTGAGAATCCACAGAAGCACCAATAACTTGGCAGTTGAGTTTCTTAAATTCTTCTGCCCTATCACTGAAAGCAATGATCTCCGTGGGGCACACAAAGGTGAAGTCAAGAGGGTAAAAGAAGAACACAACATATTTTCCTGGGGAAAAAAACACGAGTCACAGGTTAGCCTTTGAAATAGACTTCCTTGTTTTATAGAGAAAATAAATCAAAGACTTTTTTTAAGTTGATGGCAAACACAACAATCACTTAATGCCAAAATGCTCAATACAGATGTCTCCTAGTAGCTACTTTTAGAACTAGTTGCAACAGGAAGGCCTGAATGAAAAAAATGTTCCTTCTATAGTTCCATGCTTTATTCTCCTGCCTCCATGTTCTTAGCTGCCAACTAGAGAAAGAACACTGGTCAGTCTAATTTTTGTCTTCTCTGAGTGGCTAAAATGTACATAAACACCAAGTTCTCCAATAAAGAAAAGCGAGAATGCAATTATCTACTGGATTGCCAATGTTTACAGTGTTCAGAAAAAGCTGAATTGCTGGCTTTTCCTCAGCTGTAAAGAGGTAAGATACCAGTAACAAGTCACAGCCTTTGTACTTGATGTACATAATGAACCATACTAATGGGACAGGTGTGGCTTAAATGATCTCATGTGTTCCTAACACGCCTGAAAGAACAAGAAAAATAATAATTTTAAGTCAGGTACAATGGTGCATGCCTGTAATATCAGCTTCTTGGGAAGCTGAGTTGGGAGGACACCATGAGCCCAAGAGATTGAGGTCATCTGGACAACATAGGAAGACACTGTCTAAAAAAACTTTTTTGAGCCGGGCTCGGTGGCTCAGCCAGTAATCCCACGCCTTTGGGAGGCTGAGGTGAGTGGATTGCCTGAGCCCGTGGGTTTGGGACCCGCCTGGGCAACTTGGCGAGACCTCATCTCTACAATAAATCAAAAATTAGCCGGGCGTGGTAGCGCGCGCCTGTAGTTCCAGCTACTCGGAAGGCTGAGGCGGAAAGATCGCTGGAGGCCAGCAGGTCGAGGCTGCTCTCTGGGCGAGAGTGAGACTCCAACTCAAAAAAAAATAAAAAATAAAGAAAAATTTAAAAAATAAACTTTTTTGAAGGGTAAGCTTTTACACTCTTTCCATGAGGAGCCAGACAAGACAAAAGTTACAAAAGTACTGATTGATAACAGGACCTCCAGCTGCAATTTTACTGGTCACTACAATTATGAAAGAGGTAGATCTTCAAGCTGGCTAGACAGCCTGTCACCACACCTAACGGGCTGAACTACTGGAAAAATTCCAAATAGTCACTCATTTACAGGTAGCAACAAAGTTTTTTGTTGTTGTTTTTTTGTTTTTTTTGAGTTGGAGTCTCACTCTGTCACCCAGACTGGAGTGCAATGGCCGCTCCCGGCCACCGCAGCCTCGACCTGCTGGGCTCCGGCGATCCTTCCGCCTCAGTGTTCCAGGTAGCTGGACTTACAGGCACGCGCTACCATGCCCGGCTAATTTTTTTGATTTATTGTAGAGATGAGGTCTCGCCAAGTTGCCCAGGTGGGTCGCGAACCCGCAGGCTCACGCAATACACTCACCTCGGCCTCCCAAAGCGCTGGGATTACAGGCTGAGCCACCGAGCCCGGCAGCAGCAAAGTTTAAAAGTCAAAATAAGCAGGGCTCGGTGACTCAGCCTGTAATCCCGCGCTTTGGGAGGCCAAGGTGAGTGAATTGCCTGAGCCCGCGAGTTCGAGACCCACCTGGGCAACTTGGCAAGACCTCATCTCTACAATAAATCAAAAAAATTAGCCGGGCATGGTAGCGCGCGCCTGTAAGTCCAGCTACCTGGAACGCTGAGGCGGAAGGATCGCCGGAGCCCAGCAGGTCGAGGCTGCGGTGGCCAGGAGCGGCCACTGCATTCCAGTCTGGGCAACTGAGTGAGACTCCAACTCAAAAAACAAACAAAACAAAAGTCAAAATAAGTAGCCCTTTTTGACATTCATCACTTTGATAAGCTGTTACACTAGAAACTGACTCAGCTAAACAACCTCTCCAAGGCTCTGCCTAACAAGCACCCTGAAGCCTCAGCAGCTCAATCCCTGTAGGGCAGAGAACAGCTCCTTCTAGACCTCCTACTTATACCCCAAGGCCGGGTCACCCCTCTATGGTGCTACCTACCTTGTTTGCCAGGAGGAACCCCAACAACCAAGTGTGGCAGGTCAGGAAGCCTCAACCAAAAAAAGCTAACTCCAGGAACTAATGTTAGTACCTCTAAGAAAAGTACACTTGACACTTGAGTTTCAGGTTTGTATTCTAAAAAATCTATATCCTCAATTGTCCCAAGAGTCCTAGGTGATCTGGGATCAAGGCTAATAAAGGAAGAGCCTCAACAGACACTAGACAAGTGTCTGCATGAAATTATGACAACAGAAAGGGAAGTTGTTCCAACTGCTACGTCAACTCTCCTCTGAGAACAAAACTGTCAAGGGGATGTGCCTAAGCCCTCTGCCTAATAATATAACAGCTATGACACATTTCCCAAACAAACTGAACCTGCAATCTCACAACTAGCCTGAAAGTTTTGAGCTCTGAGTCTTTAAACGTAGAAAGCCTCTTATAATAAGAGGTTAGAGAATTTCTCCAATACAATAGAAGAGAAATACTGAAAAAAATAATAATAATTGAGCTAATATGTCCAATTAGCAAGTACTGTCTCCAGAAATGAAGTACTGTTTCCAGAAATGGTCTGGATCTAAGATATATAACCTGTGATAGCTGGTAATAATCTTTTCACTTCAACATGAAGGCAATAGCCTCCTGCTCTAAGGACCTCCTCCTAGGAGACATTTTACAGTCAAACCCAACATTGACAGAAATCTAACAAGGCATCCCTAGATTACAAAACAATTTGATATTAATGGGCCCAATGTAATTACTCTTACCTTTATAGTCAGACAAGTTGATATCTCTGAACTGACCATCTGGCATAACAGCTGTGGCTTTGAAGTTGGGGGCAGGGTGCCCAATTTTGGCATTTCCTGAAGACATCTTGCTATCAGCTGGAAAAGATAATAGAAATTAATTAGAAACAAGTCTCATTTTTCTAGATAACCAGCAGCCTTCACCTACTTAGAGCCTGATCTGTGGAACAATCAAGGAATTGTTCAGTGTCCTTGAATACATTCAATTTGTATTATTATTATTATTACTATTATTATTATTATTTGAGTTGGAGTCTCACTCTGTCACCCAGACTGTAGTGCAGTGGCCGTTCTCGGCCACCGCAGCCTCGACCTGCTGGGTTCCGGCGAATCCTTCTGCCTCAGCCTTCCAAGTAGCCTAAACTACAGGAGCGCACTACCACACCCGGCTAAGTTTTTGATTTATTGTAGAGATGAGGTCTCGCCAAGTTGCCCGGGCAGGTCCTGAACCCGCGGGCTCAGGCAATTTTGTATTATTAAGTAGCACTGAGCCAGGCTCGGTGGCTCAGCCTGTAATCCCGCGCCTTTGGGAGGCTGAGGTGAGTGGATTGCCTGTGTCCACGAGTTCGAGACCCACCTGGGCAATTTGAGGAGACATCATCTCTACGATAAATCAACAAATCAGCCAGGCGTGGTAGCGCATGCCTGTAATTCCAGCTACTTGGAAGGCTGAGGCAGAAGGATCGCAGGAGCCCAGCAGGTCGAGGCTGCGGTGGTGGCCGGGAGCGGCCACTGCACTCCAGTCTGGGCGACAGAGTGAGACTCCAACTCAAAAAAAAAAGAAGCAGCACCGGCCAGCAGTCAGTAGTTACAATCTGACCATTCCAACTTTTGGAACAAAACAAATCTCTGAATCTCAACCTTCGTTTCATTTTAAAAACGGCAAGGCAATTTCTTTATAAATTGAGGTCACTTTCACTGCCTTTTGAACCATCATTTGTGCAATGGTATTATGTTCTCTGACACCAGAAACAGAAAGGGATAGAGGTGGAGACTCTCAAACCTGAACCCAAATGCGCAATGCCACAAACACTGCCAGGCTCCCAAAGAGCCATAATGCCTGTGTTTCCATCTGCTTTCATAACGTAGGAAGCACATTTGACCTCTCTTCAGGTATATGTCCAAGATAGCACATGACCAAAAAGGCAATTCACCTTAAGAGAGAAGACCACAAGATATTGTTATCTGCTCAATTTCAAACTTTATTTTTATTTATTTATTTATTATAAAGATGTGGGGTAATTTTCAAAACTTGAGATATGTGTTTAATTCCTAAAAGAACTTCAAAAATGGGTGGCTGATGGCATGGCCAATATCCCGGGGCAAAAATAAGTAGAACAAGAGTCCACTTATTGCTGAAAAGAAACTTTGCACTGGATTCACTCAGGTCAACAGCAAGATCTAACCCTCTACAGTCGTGATCTGTATGTAAGCTTTTCTAGCAAATCCCTAAATTCTTGGTTCATAATACCACAACCAAAATAAATGTTGTGAGCACAGATCGTCGCAAACTCTTTATTGCTTGTTTTTAAAAACTAGGTACGCTGCAAGATGGGAGAGGTGGCTCAAGCCTGTAATCCCAGCACTTTGGGAGGCTGAGGCGAGAGGAGTACCTGAGCCCAAGGGATCGAGACCAGCCTGGGAAACTTGGCGAGGCCTCGTCTCTACAATAAATTAAAAAATTAGCCGGGCGTTGTAGATCGCGCCTGTAGTTCCAGCTACTAGGAAGGCTGAGCCAGAGGATCACGTGAGGCCAGCAGGTCGAGGGTGCGGTGGCCGTGAGCGTCCCATTGCTCTCCAGCCAGGATGACACAGCGAGACTCCAAAACACACAAACACGCAAACACACACACACACACAACCTACGCACGCTGCAACTTGGCGACCAACTACAGGGTATGACCCCAAATGGCCTTCTCGTCCAAACTTGCTTTTCCAGGTGGCCCCTCGTCCAAAGCCCAACCAATCCCGGGTAAAGAGTGTGGAACTTGCGGCCGGTGCCAGGCCTCTTCAAGGTTATCAGCCCCAGAACCCTGCCGCGGGGTCGGGCCCCTAAACCCCACTTCAGTACCCTTCTACCACGCCCACCAGATATCACCCTGCCATAGCACTTCGGAAACAGTGCAGTCTCCAGCGGGGCCGTTTGGAACCATCACAAACCCCATTCCACCGACTGGAAAATAAGGACGAGAAGGGGGATCTCCGCAGCTGGTCAGGGCTCAGGACCGGGAACGGCCTTTACCCCTATCACACAACGGACAAATACGGGCTGGCTTCTATAGCCTCAGGTGAGGATGCAGGTCTATTCTAGAAGCTTCCCGAACCCGTCCAGCTCGGCAGAAGTCTTATGGAGAAGACCACACCGCCGGCCCGGCCCCCGCCGCGCCAAGCCAATCAACGCCCTGTGGTCGGGTTGCCGAGGAAAAAGGAGACTCGAATCGACACTAGCCTCAGGGTTCAAAGAGGTCCCCGCACCCTCGCAAGGGGCCCACGTGGGGGTGTGCGTCGCGCTAGAGCACTCTCGGGCGCCGAGCCTCGCGCGGCCGCCTAGCGCGCCACAGCCCCCCAAGTGAGCGCGGGCGAGAAGGAAAAGGCAATAGGCGGGGTGCGGGGCGCTGCGCCTCGTTCTGCCGAGGCCGCGCAGCCCACAGACTCACCAGAGCCGACTCAAAAGTCGCTGAAGCAGCAAACACCAGCACCAGCTAGGAAGAGAACGCGCAAAGTCCGCCCGGGGCGCTGCCTTTATACTTTGCAGGGCTCTCGCGAGAGTCGGAGCGGGCCGGGGGTGCGGGAGGAAGAGAGACAGAGAAAGACAGAGGGGAGGGGGATCTGGCCCGAGCCCCGCCCCGCCCCAGCGCGCCCCGCCTGAATGACTCAGCGCTTTCCCAGCCCGGCGGACGAGGGCCCAGAAAGTGCTAATCCCCCAACCCACCGCTGACGGCTGAGGTCGGGGAGGGAGGCGCCTTTTGGGCGCCCTCAAACCCAAACGCCTAGCTTAATCCGGGGCCTCTACGGGGTGCCAAGACTCTCTTCCACGACCCCTACGCACCGTGCCCCTCAATGTCCAAATCAGAGTATGGGCCCGGTCGCTGCCCACCGAGGACCACGTCTAACTACACGAAGCCTTGAGAACTTGTCTATTTCTAAAGTTCGCAGCCTCTTCCCTATCGCTGATTCTGCGTAACCCTCACCGCTTAGAAAGCCTCCACTGTTCTCTTCGATTACCGGGTGGCTGCTTTCTATTGTAAGGTATAATACAATCTCGGGTCTCCCAAACTCTACGCCAAAGGGAAAGTTAAACTTGGAGGCTGAGTCACGCTACGCGGCTAACCTTTTCGGGATGAATCTCTGTTACTTTACAACTTTGTGTCACAACATTTTACTTTACCCTGACCCCACGTTGAGGTCGCGGGCCTCAGGCATTTCCTGACGGCTACACCCGCCTCTTACAAAAGCACCCACAGGTAAAAGGTATATCCTCCCATAAAACGAGGTCAGGTCAATTGTAACTCTAGATTTGCAATCTAAAGTCTAGTTCCTAAAACTAAAGTCTTTGATGCCACAGTCTGGATTACTTGTTTATCTTCCCAGGTGCAAAAGGCAGGGGAGATGCTGATCCTTTCCTCACCCCCGCCCCTAGACGTGTGCATAATTATTTTTTTCTTCAAAAGTTCACCTTACCTAAAACGTAGATTTGCCGGGTACTAACTAAAACTTCCCAAGTATGTAACCAGTCGCCTCATTGCTTCCCCACCCCTCCACCCCCCTTTTTAAGGAAAATGTATAAATATTAAATCTCTTGGAAAACTGAAATAAACAGCCACAGTCGCTCTTTGACTTACATTTAGTCGCTTATTTCGGTGAACACCGTCTCCCAACCATCCCTACCACTGTGGCTGAAGGCAACCTTTCTGAAGGCTGATTACATCACTCATCTTATTTGTCATCTAAAAACTGGGGCTCTATGGCGAACAGCCTGAGTTAAAATTCCTATCATCTAAAAAAATTTTTTAAATAAAAAATTCTATCATTTTATGTGTGACCACAGCAAGTCTTAATCCCATTCAACCTTAGTTTCCTCACATGTAAAATGAGAACATTAAACCGGGCTCCGTGGCTCAGTTTGTAATCCTGCACATTGGGAGGCTGAGATGAGTGGATTGCCTGAGTCCGCGGGTTCGAGACCCGCCTGGGCAAACTGGCGAGACCTCATCTCTACAATAAAGCAAAAATTAGCCAGGCGTGGTAACACGCGCCTGTAGTTCCAGCTACTCGGAAGGCTGAGGCGGAAGGATCGCCGGAGCCCAGCAAGTCGAGGCTGCAGTGGCCGAGAGCGGCTACTGCACTCCAGTCTGGGTGACAGAGTGAGACTCCAACTCAAAAAAAAAAAAGAAAAACTTGGTATGGGAAACATGGGATTGGCACAGGGTGCAGGTTTGGTTCTGATGCCTTATTTTGGGTGGTGATCCTCCCAGAAGTCTGTCTAGTGTTATCTTGGCGGAGGTGGGGCTATGGATTGTCTTGTGACTCCCCCCAAGCAAAGGGTCCCACAATCAGAACTCCATTCCTGGTTTGTTTTAAGAGATTAGTCACTGGAATTCTTTTTTTTTTTTGAGTTGGAGTCTCACTCTGTCGCCCAGACTGGAATGCAGTGGCCGCTCCCGGCCATCGCAGCCTCGACCTGCTGGGCTCTGGCGATCCTTCCACCTCAGCCTTCCGAGTAGCCAGAATTACAGGCATGCGCTACCACACCCGGCTGATTTTTTTATTTATTTTAGAGACGAGGTCTCGCTGCCCAAGCGGGTCTCGAACCCGCGGGCTCAGGCAATCCACTCACCTCAGCCTCCCAAAGGCATGGGATTACAGGCTGAGCCACCGAGCCCAGCTTGGAATTCTTAAATATGCATTATGGAGGATAGGGGAATAAGGAACAAGTAAGGAGAAAGAGAAAAAGATTTTTTTAAAGGGATGAGTGATTAAAAAAGTGTTTTAAAGATGGACTCTTGGTTACAATTGTAGGATAAGAAATGAGAGCCGGGCTCGGTGGCTCAGGCTGTAATCCCAGCACTTTGGGAGGCCAAGGTGAGTGGATTGCCTGAGCCCGCGGGTCTGAGACCCGCCCGGGCAACTTGATGAGCCCTCATTTCTACAATAAATAAAAAAATTAGCCAGGCGAGGTAGTGCGCGCCTGTAGTTCCGGCTACTTGGAAGGATGAGGTGGAAGGATCGCCGGAGCCCAGGAGGTCGAGGCTGTGGTGGCTGGGAGCAGCCACTACACTCCAGTCTGGGCAACAGTGTGAGACTCCGACTCAAAAAAAAAAAAAGAAAGAAATGAACAAAAGTGCTGTGTCATGCTGGGTGAGCATCTCAATTTTTTTTATCATCCTTACTTGCAATAGTAGTGATTCATTTGTCTTTTCCTTCCCTACCTGAAGCTGCATAATTATTTGACACTATTTGTTTCTTTCTTGAATGGACAGGTACGGCATAGAAGTTCAAAGCTTAATAATGAATGGTTATTGCCTATGGGCAGGCTAACCCAACAACAGACAGTTATATTTCAGCCCAAAGGAAATAGCCATCTGTTGTATTCACCACGTGTCAGGCACTGACCTGGGCACTTGAGCTTATTTGTCTCACTTAAGAATCAAAAGACAAGCCGGGCTCAGTGGCTCAACCTGTATTCCCCCGCCTTTGGGAGGCTGAGGTGAGTGGATTGCCTGAGCCCGCGGGTTCGAAACCAACCTGGGCAGCGAGACCTCATCTCTACAATAAATCAAAAAATCAGCCGGGCGTAGTAGGGCATGCCTGTAATTCCAGCTACTTGGAAGGCTGAGGCGGAAGGATCGCTGGAGCCCAGCAGGTCGAGGCTG